CCCACTATGTATGCCCGACAGAAAAAGGATCAACAACACGCTCATCACCAGGCCCGTCAACGCGCTCGCTACCAGCACGCCGGCACTCACGGCCACCAGCACACCCATCAGAATGGGCTTCAGCACCCCCCCATTTGGGCGCCCGCCCGCTCCGACAGCCCTTGGGGGGTGGGAGGGGGGCGAATCGAGCGACGCGGAGGGCGCCGCGGAGCGGAGGCGCGGCCGGTCCTCTTCGCGAAGATTCTCGTGCACAACGGAGGTGGGGCATCGCGGCCCCCCGGCTCGGTCCTCGAGTTCGTTGAGTTCGCGTTCTGAATCGAATAGCTCCTCGCCGAAGGCCATCCCCGGCATCGCGCGCGCTGCCCCTGAGCGCGGCCCCGAGCGGAGCAGGCGCGACTCCTCGCCGAAGGCCGTCCCTGGCATCGCGCGCGCTGCCTCTGAGCGCGGCCCCGAGCGGAGCAGACGCTTGCCGACTCCCCCGCCGCCTCCGCGCGGCGTTCCGACGCCGCCGCCGCCCCCGCGGCGCCCGCGCTCCGCGGCGTCTGATAAGGACCTCTGATGATATTTTTCCGCCGCATGGTGTCTGATGGCCACCGCTAGCACTTGAGTGCGCGATGACTGCTTGCCACTATCCCTCCGAAGTTCCGCGTCGCATAATCAAAAAACGCCCCTCCTCTCGGCGCGCCCTCCTTCCCCGCCTTCTTACCACCCCGGCGATCCGTCGAATCCCTGCGCCACTCTCGGGGTCGCCCTGAGACTTTCTGCGGTCGTCTTGGAGGCCAGGCGGCCGTCTTGGCGAAGGCTGGTTCACCAAGGGGCTGACCGTAGCGGCCTTCTTGGGTCCTCCTGGGGCTCTCTTGGGGCATTCTTGGGGCGCTCTTGGACTTTCTCGGGGCCCTCTCGGAAGCCTCAAGGGCTCTCTTGGCCATCGATCCAAGAAAGAAGGGGCAGCCAATGACGGCCCCCCCTTCGAGGCCCCGACACCCCCCTAGATGTTAGTGCATCCTTCGTTCGGCCCCTCGACTTCCTTCGGGCACCCTCGGTTCTCGGCCCCCCATCGGCCCCCCTCGATTTCCGTGGCTCCTTCTTTCGCCCCCCTCGACCTCCGTCGGCCCCCCTCGGCCACCCTCGTGCCTCCTCGGTTCCCCCTCGACGCCCGTCGATGTCCGTAGCTCCTTCCTTCGGCCCCTCGACCTCCGTCGGTCCCTCGGCCGCGCTCTGTCCTCCTTGGTCCCCCATCGGTCCCCCTCGATTTCCTGGCCGGTTCTTTTGGCGTGTTCTGACCGGCCCACGGAAAGCTGCCAAACTGGAAATATCGGGCCACCGCTGACAACGGCCAGCGGGGTCAGTGACAACGGCCACGGGGGTCGCTGACAGTGGCCAGGGGTCACTGACAACGGCCAGGGGGATCACTGACAACGGTTAGTGGGGCAACGGACAACGGCCAGGGGGCGGGCTGACAACGGCCAGGGGGGCCACTGACAACGACCGGGGGGGTCATTGACGACGGCCACAGGGGGCCACTGACGACGGCCGAGGGGGGTCGACAGCGGCCGCGGGGGTCACTGACAACGGCCAGGGGGGCCACTGACAACGGCCAGGGGGGTGACTGACAACGGCCAGGGGGTCACTGACAACGCCGGGGGGTGCCACTGACGGCGCAGGAAGGAGGCGGGCGAGGAATGGCGCCCCTTCCGCCGCCCATCGCCGTCCGTCGCCTTCTTCCCCATCCTTTATCGCATCCTCTTGCTGCCCCTCCTCCTCCTCATCGCTCTTATTCCTCCTCCTCATCCTCCTCCTCCCGCGTCCCGCGCCTTCTCGGCCGTGGCCCATCCCGCCCCCGTTCTCTGTTTTTTTCTTCCTCCTCCTCCTCCCCCTCGTCCCCCTCCTATTTCTCCTCCTCCTTCTTCTGCATCCGCCGACGGAACCAAGCTGCTGCACTGGCGATCACGCACGCAAGAGGAGGAGGAGGAGGAGGAGGAGGAGGAGGAGGAGGAGGAGGAGGAGGAGGAGGAGGGGGAGTAGGAGGAGGGCAAAAGAGAAGCTGGCCTCACCCTTGCCGCTGTAGGTCGGGCGCATAGTTCCACCGCCCGCAGGCGCTGCAGCACGGGTCATAAGGAGCATAATATCTGGCCAACTCCTCACACACATCAGGGAATTCCTGCGCACACTCGAGACCTGTAATCGAGCACATCAATGAACGAGCCAACATGCGCGACATATCCGAAGGGTACTGCTTCGCAGCCGACGCGTTGAATTCACCTGACTCGTGTACCCCAACGAGCTCCAACGCATGAGAGCTGCACGCGCAGCGGCCTTGGCCAGGCAACATCTGGATAAAACCATTCAAACTGGGGGCGCTAATGGCCAACAACGCTGTCGGCTTCCTCGACGGGGCCCCACGTCAACACTAGTCGAATTTTGCGAAAGTAACATGCGCACGAGGCCTGAAGCCCAGCAGGGCTTTCACGTCTGGAAGCCCCCAAATCGACGGCAAATGCAAACGCTCGGGCTCGGCTGGGCGCTCGATGATGCACGACGACCCGACAGCGCAACAAACATAAGCGGCCTGTAGAATAGTTTGCATCAGTCGGTTGCCCAACATAATTCGGCGCCGCTCGCGCTTATTTCGGGAAGGGGGCCCCTGAAGCCAAGCGGGCGAGCGGAGCGCCCTGGGGGAGATCCCCCCATTCGGGGGGGGATTGGTTCGACCTTGACACCACGTCTCACGCGGAGGCCCACCAATCATCCCCGCGGCCTGCTTAGTCCAGAGCAGATTCAGGAAAACAGCAACAGAATTCTGAACCGTTAAATCACCTGCAACAATGTCATTAGCAGCGTCTATAGACAACATCACTACCGGAAGCCTGGTTTGTTTTTACAAGGTCTCAAAATGCATCTGGGCGTCGCCGACGCGGCGCTGTCCACTAGAAAGATGAAGAACGAAACGAGTTTCGGTTGGGCTACTGGCTATCGCAGGGGCGGAGTCCTCATCACCATCGCAAGGCCCACCCCATGCGTGCTGGCTCGCGCGACAATGTCCGGAATCTCACCGCCCAAAGTCGGCCCCGCGAGCCTTTCCGGCGGATGCTCGGCGGCCAGCTGCACACTCCCCTTTGCTTTCAAGGCCTGCGCCTCTGTAGCGTCGGCGGTCCGATGGTCGAGAATCTCCGGCGCGCTCAGGGGCTTGAGAAAGTGCACAAGCGTGGGCAGGCAAGTTTTGAAACCGAACCGAAGATGTCTCAAGAGCCGCCCACGCGAAAATCCGCAAGCCTGGCAGCATGCGCCGACGGCTACGGAGCCAGCCACATCGAATTGTGGATGCATCAGGGCGCGGTGGCGTGACCATGACGCCCTCGTGCTAAAAATATGGTCGCGCTCTCTGCATGGGTGCGCAACATCCGAGGCTGGCGGTCGCACAATGACTGGGGGCTTGAGCTTGCCCCTCGTGCAAATCTTAAAAAGCTCCGCTCGCCATGTGCCGACCTCCGCCAGCGCGCGCTCCTCCGCCTGCGCACTGCGCGCGGCCCCCCCGCGCCAAGAGATCCATCGTTTCGCATCACTCCGAGCCGCGGACACCCACCAAGAAAACTTTCCCACGGGATTCCAAGGTCCAGAGATCGAGACGCGATCGTACATCCACAACACATCCTCCTGCATAAGCTCAGCCCAACTCCCTTTCGCATCAATCCTACAATCAAGCATGAAAAGCAAACCGCTGGAAGCAAAGCCTGCGAGCCTCTGGAGAAGCCTCAAGCGCCTGAGCCTGAGCGCCGTAAGAGGAAACAAACGCTTACTGGCAACATGCACTTCGTCCTTGGACCATGCGCAAAACTCGCCCCCTGCACCTTGTACCCCATGACAGCGCGCAAGGAAGTCGGGTAAACAGACTCGAGAAAGGACTGATTGCTGGCAGACAGCGGCGCCCACGCAGCACCATGGAACAGAGCGCGGCTGCGGCAGAAGGCAGCGGCGAACTTAAACTTGGGACCTCGCGTCAGATCGCTGTTCCCTACCTAGGCTCTGCCTAGAAGGGTTCTTACTCTCTTAGCTTAAAGGGGCAGGGCAGTGGAACGCGCCCCGGGCGGTTCCCCCAGTTCCCTGGGAGCGGTCCCCCCAGTCTCCTGGGAGCTTTAGCTCTAGCTTCAGCTTCAGCTTTAGCTTAGCTTTAGCTTAGCTGTAGCTTCGCTTTAGCTTAGCGTTTCGCTTAGCTTTTCGCTTAGCGTTTAGCTTAGCTTTAGCGAAGCTGAAGCTTAGCTTTAGCTTAGCTCTAGCTTAGCTTTAGTTTAGCTGTAGCTTAGCCTTTAGCTTAGCTTTAGCTTAGCTTTAGCTTAGCTTTAGCTTAGCTTTAGCTTAGCTTTAGCCTATCTTTAGCTTAGCTGTACCTTAGCTTTGGCTTAGCTGTTGCTTTAGCTTTAGCTTTAGCTTAGCTTTAGCTTAGCTTTAGCTTAGCTTTAGCTTAGCTTTAGCTTAGCTTTAGCTTAGCTTTAGCTTAGCTTTAGCTTAGCTGTGGCTTAGCTGTGGCTTAGCTTTAGCTTAGCTTTAGCTTAGCTTTAGCTTAGCTTTAGCTTAGCTTTAGCTTAGCTTTAGCTTAGCTTTAGCTTAGCGTTACTGTTACTACTAATGCTGCTTTCCTAAGTGCTCCAACTCCTAGGTAGGGTCGCACTGAGATGATTTGTCTTGAGGACGCCCCCCCCGAAGGCCACCCAAGACGCTAAGCTGAGACCTGTGCCGACGCATGAGCTCAGCATTCATGGCCCCTCCATCGTGAATCATTAAACCAAGGTGCTTGCACGCGCGCGCCATGTGCACGTGCTGCCGGATGTGTGGGACCCAAAACTTGCTTTTCATGGCCCCCAGGTCCCTAGCAGCGCCGCGCTTGCCATGGCCAGTCGGGCAGAAAAGGAGCGTCGGCCCCCCCCCCCCCCCCCCCATAATTCGCACTAAATCCCCTCACTCTCATCTCATCGTCCACGATCCCTACCACGACGTGGGCCAACCTGATGGCCTCGTGCGCCGCCCTGGCGGCCTGCAGCACAGCAAGGTCGTCGACGTACGACGGCGATCCTATCAGGGCATCCTGCTGGTCACCCTCGGGACGGAAGGCACAAGCAGGGTCGACGCCGAAGTCTCTGGCGTCCAACGCGAGCCCCTCGGCAAAGACACGCTCGCGCAGCCGCTCGTGCACGGGTGCAACAGATAACGTGAATAGCACATCTGCAGGCGGCATGCCTGGCCTCGTCCTTGCGGTGGCTTTGGCTACCTCTGACGTGCCCTTGACCTGGAACCGCGTGCAAGAATTTACATCTCGGATCAGATCATGCACATGTCTACCACCTACTTTCTCAAAGATCGTCGGCTCGGCCAGGATGCTTCGCATAGCGCCCTCTACAGCCAGAGGGAGCTGCAACTCGTCGATAGCTTCTTCCAAACCCCTCTCCGTCTCAGGCAATCTCACGAGAAACTCCCTCACAACTGCATGAAAGGCAGCACGCAAATCCGCGAAGTAAAGCACGGCAGAGTACCTTGGCGAGCAACAAGATCCTGGAACACTCGGACCTGGAAAGACGCACCAGCGGCCCCCCGACCAGGCCTGCCACCATGTTGGTCGACGTCCATCAACACAGAGGCAACTTCCAATATTTTCCGGCGCAAAAACTTGTGGTAATGTTTACGCACGTGGACCCCGAGCAGGATCTCGCGAAAGTTAGACAAAAAACTCGGGCCCCCTTTTTTGAACAGATCATGAGCCCCGCCGCCCTTCCATGCCAAAGGCTCCCTGCGCATCATTTGAACCTTGACCATAAGCGGCAATAGCATGCGCGAACTGACCTCCGGAGCAGCCTCATACAAATCGTTGGTAACGATGTCAGGCCCCCCTGCACGCCTGCGAGAGGCATTCAAGATGGCCATCCTCACAGCATCCAGCGACATGATATCGCTCAAATCCTGGAGCCCTGCGGAACTAAAAAGCTGCTGCTGATGGTTGTACTCGCTCACAAGTTCCCTAACTGAGCACACGGAGGCCTTCTCAGCCTTGGCAAAATGCTGCAGCAGGCCTACGGCCAATGCCTCGCGGGACTCGAAGGGCACACCGGTGGCATCATATCCAAGAGGAAGGACCCCAGAATTACCTCTCCCCTTGACCCGCATCTGACCAGCCTCCACTCCTCACGTCCATCTCCTGCGGCAGACGCGCCCTTGATCGCATCGGCCGTCTCTTTCAAGAATGCCGCGCGATCCCCGCGGAGTTTCTTCCGGAGGGCCCTCTGACACCTCTGAAAAGACCTTAGGAAACATGCGAAAAATTTGCTAAGCCGGGCATGGTTATCTCCTTCGCCAACCACAGCCGACACCCAAAGGCGAGCACCCCCAAAGTCTCATCAAACTCGGGGAACTCCTTTCGAACCTGCTCTGATGCCATATCAGGACGGTCAACCAACTGCAGTGAGGCGTCTACAAAACAGAACAGATGCCAAATGTTATAGTCTTTATAGCGGCGCAAGACACCCCGAACAGACCTTCGAACCCTGATCGCCCACAAGGTTTCTGACCGAACGTAGGATCTCACGGGCCCCAACAGCTTTTGGGAAAAATGCTTCGCGGCACAATCGTGAATTGACTGGGTGAGAATGCGGAAGTGTTCGTTTACATCCACGGACCAGTGTACCTGCGGGGGCGCTAGCAAGTCTTGAGAGAATGCAACTCGCTTCGCTGGATCGCGAGCCGCTAGGATATCGAAAACTGGCAGCCCTCGCTGCCCTCCGACCTCCTCTGCCCACTCAAGCTTCGCATACACGGGATAATGATCATGGCGCGTGCGTTCCACATCCACGTCGTGCACGACGCCCTGCTCGACGATATGTAAGCTCCACACGATAGGCACACAAGCGAAGTCGATGCGGTGACGAGCACCTTGCTTGCATTGGTACGTGTATGCTGGAGCCTCGGAGGCCACGAGCGTGCCACACGCACACAGCTGGGACTGGCACAAGGTAGAGTGAAACATAGCCCCGTTGCTGTCTTCCACATCGGCAGCGCTGCCACCGACCGAACTGCTGCAGACGCTGCCGACGCGCGCATTCGCATCGGTTAGCAAAATATCCACGCCATGCCTGGTCACGAGCTGCTGCGCCTCGCTCCACCAGGCCTGCCTCTTGGGAGGGCGAGCCTCTGGACAAAAGGAATGGCGCGCCATAGCGACGACCTTCCAATGCGGCGCGTTTATCTTCGCGACTAGGCACCGAGGGTCCGCAGCGACAACCATGCAATGCCCAGCTTGAAACCTCAACTCCCCCCCCTTGCGCCGCGCATAGGGGGCCGCGCAATTCACCCAAAGTTCGCGCCCCAGGTTCTTCCCCTCCTCCGCTCCTGAGGCGAGGCAGCACAAATTATCGGCCATCTTACTGCCGCGAGGTGCGCGCGCCTGCACGCCGACAAACAGGGCGCCCGGCCTCCTGGAATTGTTGGCGCAACTGTTGCCCCCGCAAAACCTGCACCTCCCCCTTGACGACGTCATGGGCCGTCGCGGCGTTATACGAGACCAGCGCAAAACTTCGCGTAACCACCGATTTTGAAACCTCGGCGTCGAGCTCTGGCTGCCCAAAGGTCCCCGGGGCAGTCTGGACGAAAGTACCTCTGCCGTTCTCGTCACAAGACTGCGGCCTGTCCCCCCAGGACCAGAGCACTGCAGCCTGAGAGCGGGCACTGCTGACGCTCCTGCTCAGTGAGCTCAGCGATCGAGTTCCAAGCAAGCGCTGGCGTGTAAAAAAACTGCCGTACAATGGCAGGGTGGACACAGTCACTCCCAACTCTTAGTGGACTTAGCTATATAATCTGCTAACTCGTTCCAACAATGCTTACCTTGTTGTGTCCATGCACATGCTCGATATCCACGTGCACGCGCGCGCGAGCAAGATCGTGCAAATGCCGTGCCAGTGCAGCCAATTGAGGCTCTGCCTTACCAACGCTCAGCCCTAGCGTCAGTCCACTGGCAACCTCCGAATCAGAACAGATTGCGACGCTGGCAATGGGGGCAGAAGGCACACGATCGGGACGATACTTACCAACGACCCATACGAGCGCCCAAATAATACCTACGAGCTCGGCAGACACACTACTCACGTCCTTCTCAAGATCAAAGCCTACCGAGTCGTGAACATTGCCTGCCATATACCCCATAAACCTGACATCCCCCTCCTCATCAAGACAAGTGCCTACGAGGGCCCCCCCCGCTCAACGCCTTCTCAGAGGGCACCGACCCATCGATGTATAAGATGACCTGCTCTGATGGACTGCTACATGGCGGGGCAACCTGCAGGGCACATTGCGATGTCTTTCAACTCAACCTCCCCCGTATCTTGCAAAAGCGCGAGCTGCTGCCCATGCTCGATAAGACACTGTGCGATCCGATCGGCCCCCTGGAAATCGCAACTGACGTGCCCGTCGACTCTAGAGGTGAGCGCATCCAAACTGATGATCGTTTTTGGTGCAGGGGGCTTGGGGCATGGGCCTGCTTCGGGGCCCTGACTGCTGGGCACGACCAGCCCCATGCTGGGGTCGTACTCACGAGTTTCGGTACCTCCGAACGTGACGGCCTTCTGTCCCCTTCGAGCGGGCACACGCGCCTGGGTGCGCCCGGCACCTCCGGACTGCAGGGACGCGTCGTCCTCCCTCCCGACGCCCGAAGCCCCCCCAACAACCTCGACGGCCGCCTGCTGCCTATCTCCCAGGCCAGACGAGGCAAGATGCACGAGGGGGCTCGCACTCAGCAAGCCTGACGGCGGCGCGTCTTCAAATGGCGGAAGCTCAGCACCAACCCTGCTGGCCTCCGTGTCGACAACGCCTAACTTGGCAAGCTTATGCGCATCCTGCGGGCCTCCAACAAGGGAGTCCTCACTGGTGAAGGTGAGGGAATCCTTGCCAGCCCGCATCTGCAGCAAATTCGTATCATCCCGCTCCGCAGGATCAGCGGTCGCATCCTCGCCACCTGCCTCAGCATCAGCGGAGGGCTCGGCGCTGGCCGCGCCATCCGACGCCGCGGCAGGAGCGACAAGGTCTTGAAAATGCAAATCCGAATCCCAAAACGCATCGGACCCTGGCCGAGCCCGAAAGGCGAACTGCTCATCCCACGAAGCGGCCACGCCTGACCAGGGGCAACAACGCCCTGCTAAAACTCGTGCCATCACGCTTGCTGCATGCTGCGCTTGCTGCGTGCCCGGCCTAGGCGGAGGCCGATCGTAAGGTCCCATCCCCGACCCGCTCCCAAACGAGACCACCCCCCACCATCAATAACAGAGCCTGCCTGGTGCCACTCTTGGTCAAACAAACTCGCTAAAGACTGACCGAGATCAATCTCGCACAACTGAACTGCCTCACAACTGCCACTATCGTGCATGCCGTGCTGCGCTCCACATACGCTGCGCACAAGATGCGACGGGTGCGCAAACGAACGTGCATGCTGGCTGCCGCTACCGACTGTTTGCCATGCTTGATCGGGGCGCCTGGCTCTGCGATCGTCCTGGGCTCCTTCCTCGGCGGCGACTTCACGTCGTCCTCCTCCTTCTTCACGCCGTCCTCCTCCTTCACTGCCACGTTGATAGCCTCGGCCTGCTGGGCTGAGCTCGGCATCCGAGACGGCGACGTAACACTGTGCTGCATATCGAGCGGGCTGATGAACTCCTGCTGCGCGTTGATCGGCTGTGTCGGCGAGCACGCGGGCGCTGGCGTCAGAACTGGCACTTCCTCTTTGACCTCCATCGCGGGGCTCGTAGGCGAGGGTAGCCCCACTGCTGGAACCAGCTCGCTCTGCGTGCTCCTCCCCCTGCCCCTCCTCCCCCTCTTCCTCCTCCTCCTCCTCCTCCTCTTTCGGTCCTCCGGAACAGGGCGGTTTGGCCCCTCCCAGGCCCCGAGCGCGTGAGTTTTTTTTCGCGACGTCGGCTGTCAGTCTGTTGTCAGTCGGTTGTCAGTCGATTGTCAGTCGGTTGTCAGTCGGTTGTCAGTCATTTGTCAGTTGGTTGCCAGTCGGTTGTCAATCGGTTGTCAGCGTTGTCGGTCGGTTGTTCGCGGGCCCCCTGGGGGTTGTCAGCGCCCCCCTGGGGGTTGTCAGTGGGCCCCCTGTGGGTTGTCAGCGGCCTCCCCGGGGATTGTCAGCGGGCCTCCCTGGGGGTTGTCAGTGGCCCACCTGGGGGTTGGCAGCGGGCCCCTTGGGGGTTGTCAATGGGCCCCCCTGGGGGGTTGTCAGCGGGCCCCCCGGGGGGGTTGTCAGTGGGCCCCCCCGGGGGTTGTCAATGAGCCCCCCTGGGGTTTGTCAGTGGGGCCCCGTTGGGGCGGCCCCGAACTCGACAGAGGGGGCCCCCTGGCAATCCCCGGGGGGGGGGGCACCGACAAACCCCAGGGGGCGCACTGACAACCCCCAGGGGGGCCTACTGACAAGTCTTTCCTCTGGGAATCGGGGCAAGATGACAAAGGAAGCAAGGTCTCGTGTTCACTCTGCTCAGAAGTAGAGGATACGGGAATAGACATCTATGAAACAGCAAGTAACCGTTAAGCAAGTGTACTCAGGAGTACTAGTATGGGAGGAGGCCGGCCGGCCGACGACCGACGACGCGCGGCGGCCGAGGGCTGGCGCGCTCCATTCTCCTTGAAACACAAATAGCCGCGGCACAAAGCCGCAGGGTCAAGGAGTGGCAAGGCAGGCAGTGAGAGAAGCAAGTGTAAGAAGAGGCGGAGAGGAGCAAATTTACTCCCCCCGCGGCGGGCTTCGTAGAGCCCATCCAGCCACAGCCTCCCTGGCCTGTCCATATTATACAACCGCCGGAGCGAACCGCGCAAATTTTTACCGCTCAACGGTGGCTGCCAGGGAGCTGAGGGCCGAAGAAACCCGACGATTCCCACCAATAGATAAATAAATTCTCTCCGCCGATTCGACTTTGTCGATCGGTCGCGTCCGCAGCGACTGGGCCGCGCGGGTTCTGCCTAACTCAGATCTTGCCAAAGATTGTCCCGCGATGGCGGAGTCGGAGGTCTCGGATGCGAAGATGACGAGCCTCCCTGCTGGCCCGCAAGCCAATGGGGCGAGCGGGATCTGAATCCCTTGCCACGGCCAGCGCAATGCGGCGGCCTGTTGCGCTTGCCTTTGTTCTTGGAATCCTTTCCCTTCATCGGAAAGTAATAGTTGTAGTCCCTCATGTGCACCACATGCCACGCTCGTGACCACTTGTCACTATTGCTCATCCAGGATATCTGATCCCGGTGAACGTAGTATCCATCCTGTACTTCATTTGTGTAGTGCGGGTAGTGGATCGAGGGGTCGTAGCCGGCAGCGCCGCGGCCGACATCCATGGCTCCGCCGCGCGCGCGCAGGCCTCGACCAATCCCGTGTGTCTGCTGACGAATACCATGAGTGCTCATCACCTGCCATAGCGGTTTGACCACTGGCAGAGCACGGAGATTCCGTGACTTCGTCGTGAGCCCGATCGTCTTGGACGTCGGATCTGCGTGGAGGAGGTGGCGGTCTGGGCCTCGCTTTCGCCGCGTCATCTGGCCGCATCGGCCCCTCCGTATCGGCTTGGCCGTCGGGGGGCCCAGCAGCGCCTCCACTCTCGCTAACGCTCTTTACTCGACTTCTAGTAAATCTAATAATGCCCCTTGCAACAGTAACAATAGGAATGCCAAACTTGCCACAGGCAGTACGGAATGGGCCTTCATCTTTATCTTGAAGCTCCGTATCTCCGTCTTCATGCTTATCTTGAAGCCAACGCAGAGCCCCTTGCAACTTCGCGCCCTGACGGCGGATGTCTGTGCGGACCTGTTTACCCAAATCACGGGCCCATTCCTCAATGAGGTCATCCGTTTCAATCGCGGCACGAATGCGACAGTCAAGGGCGTGTGCATCTTTTTGCCGCTTGTCATGATCGTAATCTACGCCGGCGCACAGGGCAAGAAAGTTACTCCCAGGGTATGCAATGCAATGTCCCTCGGCGATGAAACAACTAATGATCTCGCGAAACATCACAATCACACGCATAATGCGAAGACCCAATTGCAGTTCTGATACAAGAACCACCCAGTTCCAATTAATGATGTCCCGCACACCATCCGGGATTTCATGCGTTACCTCACCCGACAGTCGTAACCTATCAGGGTCGCTTGTCTCCGGGCGGAAGCTGTTGTATTCGATGACATATTGGGCGGCCACTTCTTTGACTCCGCCCTGGGTCAATGTGACGTTCAACGATTTGTCGTCGCAATGGGAATACGTATACCCACTAGGTTGATCAAGGTCGATCCTCCCATCAATTATCTGCTCGGTCTTGGGCCCGCAGACTGCAGTGAAATCAAGTGTCGCGTTTAGATTCTCCTCACCTGCCGTCGCGGTTGGACCGGCGGCAGGTTCGGTATGCTTACGCACTGAAACAAGACGGTGATCGGAACATAAGTTGATACGCCTGCTAACGGACTGGGAAGCACGACGAGGTCGTGCCACAAAACTATTTGCCCAAGCAACCGGTGGACGGCCACGAGGGCCGGGCCCTGTGACGTCCATGGCGTTGTCCTGTCAACGGGCAGCCAAGGTGCTGTCCCCGCTTTTGCGTCGAGCAATGTCCGAAGCGTTGGCACGAAGATGCTCGTATTATTCATTATGCGCTCCCATCTGATCTAACCTTCTAGTGGTTCATAGCGTGTGTCAGGTTCCTCTGGCCACTCAAAGGCAGCCAGAGCAGGGCAAGACATTGGGCGCGCGTACTGGTCAATGTCCGTTGCCCAAAGCAAGGGCCACCAGTCTGCGATCGTTGGAGCTTTGGTCGCTTGTCTCTCAGCCAAGTGTGCGAGCCATTTGATGAATCGCTTCTTCAGAGGCTCAAGGTACTGAAAGAAGGGACCGTGACGCGCCGGCGGCGGGGCCGCGGCGCGGTCAGGAATCCAGGCAGAAACACTACCTGTGCGGCTGTTTCCAAAGGTTTGACCCGAAGTAGCCAAGCGCATATAGTTATCATTCGTTGCCCACTTGCGCTCCTGGTGCAGATTGCTGTTGATGTTGTATACTACATCTGCCGAAGCTCTCCGTTGTCTTTCTACTCGCGCGCCAACCCAAGCGTCGCGCACGCGAGGGAGCTCATTGGGGTTGACAACATGCTACGAAATGCCATTTCTCTCAAGTAAATCTGAAATTAAGTTATGTCGGTATGGCTGACGCAAGTAATCGTGAGCAACCTTGTATTTGTACCTGATCGGATTGCTGCAGGAGGGGCAATGTCCAAAGCCAGTTCGCACCCAGTGCAAGCTAGCGCACAGGAACCGACCATCGCCCTCTCATGGAACAGACTGAACAAATGCTTGTGCTGCGGGAGGCAACTGAGGCATATGGCCTTGGATCAAAGACAAAGTCTCGTCAGTATGAATCTACCCGAGCATTGAGTTGTTATCAAAATCTACCTCGTATGATGCCCACTCATGGTTGAAGACGATGGACCAAGACATTTGCTTCTCTCTCGGATCCTGCCAGTCGCTGACTTTGACAAGGGTGACGGCTTTGTCAATATCGGTGAACCTCGGCACCTCACGGGACACAAGAGTCCCATCCTGGCAAACCCTGTGCGAAAAACGGGTGGGCACCCGGCCGTTGAAAACAATAATTAACAGCCAGGACTCTCTGTGAGTCGGAAGCTGATCCCGCAGACGGACTGTGTCCTGTGCGGGCCATGCTCCGACTGATGGCGGCTCTCCTTGCCGCGCGATATTGCCCATGGCCACGAACTTCTTCGCAGGGACAGGGTCGCCATACCTCCGCTGGCTTAGCCACGAGGGAAGATGATCTTCTCCTCGCATGTTTGGATCCTTCTTGGTCGGGAGAAGCCTCAGCAATTCGTGGTCTGCCTCGAGGCAAAGTCCCGAGTCTCTCTTGGGGAACTGCACTTCTCCGACCGTGGATTCCAGTAGTGTCTGCATGTCGGTGATATGGAGGAGGGGCCCATGACTCCTGGCTTG